ATCCAATAAGAGAAACAAGGAGAGATGGTCCTTATCTATATTCAGCAGAGATCAACTAGAGCCACCAGCACTGTCGGAAAACAGACTGAAAGGGGTTTACAGAAAATTAGTAAAATAATCAAGGAGGGCAAATGATTTAACAAATTGCCCTTTTGTAACTTCTCAGCATTGTAGCTGCTCAAATTACTCAGGTGTAGCTAATTCTAGTTCTAAACAGGCTCAGGGGTTCTTGGCTAGTTTTACTACAGTATGGGAAGGGTTAAGCAGAGGGTCAAACAAAGGGCAAGGATTTAAACTGAGGTCACAGGACTAGCTTACAATCTTATATAGGTTTTAAACTTTATTAGGTCTATAGATTAAAGGGCTAATACCAGATGCTAGGGATACTGAATTCACAGATAAGGCTAAACCTTAGGTAGGTTTTTGTAATAGAAAAAAAGATAACAAAAAACAAGTAACAAAACAAACTGCAGCTAAGGTGTAAATACAGCTAGGGTTTAAAAATGGGGGTCCAAATTTAAACTAAATTTAAAATTTTAAGCTAATTCTCACATTCTTTAAAGAAGGGTTTTTTTCCTACAAGAGAACAATACCTTTTTCAGCAGTACCTATTTTTAATCAACCAGAGGCTGACTCATTCATCCTCCGTTATTGGTTAGCTCCCAGTCAGTGTAATTGGCTTCAGTGGGGTGTGGAGCTTTGGCCTAAGCTATTTATTTAGGCTCCTGCAAGCAGGCCCCAGCTCTGTGAGGTAGCAGACCCCGCTTTGGTGATGGTGTGCCAGCTCCAGTGAAAAAGTGACAAACAAGGGAAAAAGCAGGTGAGTTCAGCAGACGTGTAAGTTCAGCAGCAGTGTGAGGAAGCCAGGGCACTAGTCTCTCCATGATCGTAAAAGGGCAAGTACACTTTCTTCAAATGGTTCTACATAAATAGATTTATAAATAAGGGGATTTCATAAAAAACCAAAACAATTGTGAAAATAGAATATCCAGCAGGGTGTTGGGGACTATCCAATGTATTGTACTGAATGCAACATGTATGACTATCTGCCAGCTGGACAGAAATCATGAGACTGTACTTGGTGGAAGGAGCTCCTGGTTCTGAGGGAACGAGTTCGCACCTTTGAGGCCAAGGTGGCTAACCTGGAAAAGCAGAGACAGTCAGGCACACAGATAAGACTCTTGGGGACTTGTTAGATGTGTCCCATTCTGACAATGTCAGCCCTGCTGCTGTCAGAGAGCATGAGGGTCAAGGGGAAACAGGGCACCGTGCTGAAGAAAGGGGGGATGTTCCCTCAGAAGGGACCTGTTCTACAGTTGGTGAAAAGATATTTTTCCACACCAAGGACTCATCCCTGGGCAGGGAGGAATGGGGGCTCTTGGTAGTTGGTGATTTGATCCTTATCCTTAGGCATGTAGGTAGTTAGATTGCAAACCCACGTACTGACTGCATGGTGACTTGCCTGCGTGGTGCAAAGTTAGCAGACATTATGTGTGGTCTATAGGCTGGTAGACAGTGCTGGGGAGGAGCCAGTGGTTGTGTTACATGTTGACACCAATAATGTGGAGAAATGTAGTCATGTGGTCCTGGAGGAAACACTTAGGCTCCTAGGCAGGAGACTCAAAGCCAGGACCTCCAATGACTGTGCCATGGAACAGATGGTTACAGAACCTCCCAGGGGGGAGGCGATCCTGGACTTGGTCCTGTGTAATGCTTAGGACCTGGTGAGAGATGTAAATATGATAGCACCTATTAGAGCAGTGATCATAATGCTATTAAGTTTAGCATTTATGTAAATAGGGAGTTGCCCCAAAAGACCAACACAACCACATTTAACTTTGAAGGGGTAGCTTCTCTCAAATGAGGGGGCTTGTGAAGAAGAAGAAACTGAAAGGAAAGGTAAAGACGCTCAAATCCCTTCAGGAAGTTTGGAGACTATTTAAAACTACAATACTGAAAGCTCAGATACAATGTATACGTCAAGTTAGGAAAGATATAATAAGTATAATAGGTATTAAAAAAGGCCTGTGTGGTTAATGAACAGTAATGGCAGCAGTAAAAGGTAAGAAGGATTCCTTTAAGTGGTAGAAGGCTAGTCCAAGTGAGGTAAATAAAAGGGAGTACAGGTTTTGGCAAATAAAATGCAAGTCAGTGATCAGGCAGGTAAAAAGGGACTATGAGGAACATATCGCAAAAAACATAAAGATCAACAATACAAATTTCTTCAAATATATTAGAAGCAGAAAACCAGCCAGGGAGACAGTGGGGCCCTTGGATGACCAAGGGGTAAAGGGATTACTGAAAGATGATATGGACATGGCAGAGAAGCTGGAAGATGGGAGGTGGTTGCTCATTCCAGAATGCTGATTTCAGGAGGGGTGTTGAAAGACTTGAGTTGGATTGAGGTGACAAGTTTGGAGAAACTTGAAGGGTGACATGATAGAGGTTTACAAAATTATGCATGGGATGGGGGAGTTAGAGAAAGAAGTACTTTTCTCCCTTTCTCACAGTACAAGAACTTGTGGGCACTCAATGAAATTAATGAGCAGTAGACTTAGAACAGATAAAAGGAAAGGCTTCTTCACCCAAAGAGTAATTAACACGTGGAATTCACTGCGATAGGAAGTGGTGGCGGCTACAAGCATAGACAGCCTCAAGAGGAGACTGGATAAACGTATGGAGCAGAGGTCCATGAGTGGCTATTAGCCACAAGGTATAGTTGGAACAGTATGTCTGAGGCAGTGATGCTCTGTATCCTTGGTGTTTGGAGGGCAACAGTGGGAGGGCTTCTGGAGTTCTGGCCCCACTGGTGGACTTCCTGATGGCACCTGGTTTTGGTCTGCATGGGCCATTGGCCTGAACCAACATGGCTTCTTTTATGTTCTTATGAGTCATCCAGGAAGAACTGGAGCTATTTGCAACCATTCTTCCAATCCCTTGCCCAGAAAAGGCAAGTAACAAATCTTCCCTTGTTATAATCTTTATGCTAGATTGTGTGAGTTTCTTATAGGATGGCCATAAATGAATAGTTATTGGAATAATAATAGGTAAAATATTTCTGCAGTTTCCTGTCTACATTAAACCTGGTCTTGTGTAAACCAAGAATATATTCTTGTGATACTCTAATGTTAACAAAGTAATCCATGCTGTTTAACACAAATAAGTTTTTATACTAGTATAAGGACCTTCCAACTCAACTTACTTTGCACAAGTATTGGACTGGCTTTATTGCCTGTAACACCACTGACCTTCAGGCGTCTATAATAAATTCCTCTGCATGCAAACTGCTGAAATTCCACTTGTTCAAGTGGTATTTACACTGTGTGGATAAATGAGATCATTTGTTACCTTACATGATAGTTAGAAAGTGGCAAGCAGAAGATATATGGTAATTTTTTTCACATGATGTAAGAAATTATTGAAGCAGGTAAAATACATTTCAAAATGAAAAGGCTGAACATTTAAGTTCTTGAAAGTTTATTCTGTGAATAGTCACCTTGCATGTTATAATAGCTTAATTAGCTGGGTGAATGCAAGCACAAGGCCACAGTGTAGCCAGTCAGTTTCAGATTCCATTTTGGTGGAATGTGATGTGACTACATGCTTAACTCACCCGTACGATTCAATAGGACTTTAAAGATGTGAAGATGTAAACTTTCCAGAAATTTTGGGCATAGGAAAAGTTTACTTAAAAAAGAATTTAAATTCTTTCCTTATTAAACATAATTGTATTTAATTAAGAACATGAAATTTGTCATGTAGATCTTAGTACATAACATACTGTTTGGTGTAGTTCTGAAATGTTAATTTATAGCTGCCTTTGTTTTATTAAACAATAAGTACACCACATATACCCAGTACTTGATATGGCTTGGATCCTACAGAGAACTGCTGTAGACAGAAGGGATTCCATCCAGGGAGTTCCTAGGAGAGAAACTACTGCTCCTGGGAGAAAAAGGCCCCCCCAGGAACAGCAGGGAGCAGTTGGAGGGGGGAATTGAGGAAAGAAATAGACCTTTGGACTACAGAAATCCTGTGTGGGATCCAGACTGTTGTTCCTGAAAATACTTATACACATCTTAAATTATTTTGGCAGTTGGGAGATGAGGGGGGAAAACCAGAAACTTAAAATATTCATGGTTTGAATTTTTGTGAAGAAAAGAAAACTTATATCTTCTAGGCTTAGAAACAGACATGGAAGGTAGTGTTTTATTTAGGGAGATTGTGCAGAAAACATGGTCTTTACAGTAGCAAAAAATGCAGACACTCAGTTAAAACTTTTTAATACAAAATTCCCTGTATAGTATATATTATTAACATACACAGGCTGGTATCCACTGTTCCCTCTAAGCTGAGTTAGTGTGAGCTTGCTCACAGTGTTTTAGCCTCCAGCTCACAGATTTTTGTCTTAGCTCAGGAAGGATGGCTCCAGAGCAAACTAATTTATGCAGCAGCCAAATCGCTCGCTCACAACTTTAATGCCGGTGGCTCACAAAGTAGAATTTTTGCTCACAAGACTCCACAGCTTAGAGGGAACATTGCTGGTATCCTGTGCATACTTGTGTGGACACAATCCCCACTGAACTCCACGGGGCTGCCTAAGATGGCTGTTATAATGGGGGATAAGGGTATGGTAGTGACAAGGAATAACCTTAAATTGCAGATGGTGCTGTTTATATATTATGGCTACAGTCCTTATTCCTGCATGTGTACACAAAGGGAGGAACAGTTATTGTCAGTAACTCCACAGCATGTATGAATGGAGTGAAACAGATGCAAATAGTTGCTTGAAGCACTACCTTTTTGTATTCTGGGATATATGAAACAGATGACAGGAGAGGGGAATCTAGTTGTTCTGCTCTTCCATTCCCAGCATGTATTTTGTTCTGATTTTGCCATGTATCTCTGCATCACTTGTCCATATCCAAAGGCAGAAATATTTTGAGCATAGAAATATGTATTTGGATAGTTGACTAATACAGCTGCATGTATATTTTGAGGTTAATATTCCAGTACCAACATTTGGACAACCAGAATTCCAACAGCATGACCTGACAAAACAAGGAAATAAACCTGAAGAAAAACAAAAAATATCTGAAAACTCAGCTGCTTTAGAGGCACCAAAACCAACACCCTTCATAAAAAATGTAGCAGAACTGGATTATTACAAAGACAAAGGTAAGATGGGTAGCAATAAAATGTCCAACTGTTCTAATTATCAGGCGTTAACAGAGAACGTGAAACTACATTTCACAAATCAGATTCCAATTAAAGTGCAACTACTTCTCATTTTTCAGTGTAAGGAGAATGTTTCACAGTAATGCATACAAGCATGTCAATATTTAAATACCTAATTTTGCACTAGTAGGAACTTGTTTCCTGCAAAGGTTGTGACTTCTGAAGTTCAGTTCATTTATTGGAGTCCACCTATCTGTGACCCCCCACCCCCAGACACACACCTTAATGTGGTGAGGGGGTTTGTGTGTGTGTGTGAGCAAAGCTGAGAGTAATACTGTAAGGCAGGGGTGTCAAACCTGCGGCTCATGGGCCAGAACCTGCCTGCTTGCCTGCCCAGGGCTTTAATCCAGCCCACGTCTCTCTTCTCTCCCCCCTGTCCACCCCTCCCCTGGCCGTCCTAACCCTTCTGAGCTGCCACTGAGTGCAGGGAGGAGAGGGCGGGGCTGCCAAACTTCCTAGTTCCCAGCCACGTGGGTCTGCTAAAGTTGCTTATTTAAGTGTGCTGGCTGAGGGGGAGGGGGCTTGGTCACAAATATTGTTGTGAGTTTGGGTGGAGGCTTTTCTCTTGTGTTTATTGAGCTTGAAGGAGCAGCCATATAGGTCTGCTAGAGTTGTTTATTTGTTTAAGTTTGTTGGCTGAGGGAGAGGGGCTTGGTCTCAGACACCGTGCATCCAGGTGGAGGCTTTTCTCTTGTGTTTAAGCAGCCACATGGTCTGCTAGAGTTCCTTGTTTAAGTTTGCTGGCTGAACATTGTTTTGCATCCGGGTGGAGGCTTTTCTCTTGTGTTTATTGAGCTTGAAGCAGAGGCCCCCTGGGTTTGCTAGAGTTCTGGGTTATCAGGTCTCTATTCTTCTTGGGGGTAGTGTGTGTTTAATTACTATTAAGTTTTCATGGCTCAGTTGAAGAGCCTCTGCTTGGCTTGTAGGCACCTCCAGTTAAAAGGACCAGGCAGTGGCTTATTATGAGAAACACTTTAACCTGAGACCCTGGAGAGCCACTGTCACTCTGAGTAGACTTTGGGGGGAAGGAGCTTGCAATGTCTGGCCATTTCATGTTCCTCCTTGAATCCTAGGCTCTGAGCATTGACCATGAGAGCAGGCTGGGGAAAGTAAAGTAGTGTTCTCTGCACAACCTGAGACACTGCTGCTGCCAGGCTTCAAGGTTGATGGTTGGACTGGGAAAGGCTCAGCAAAGATCCCCCCTGTGAATTTTGCAGACCCCCATTTCTATAATGGCATTTTCACACACACTAAATAACATCCTTTCAATACACTTTGCAAGTGGATTTTACTGTATGAAATGGCAGAATCCAGTTGCAAGCGGTAGCCGAAGTGTACTGAAACTGCATTATTTAGCATGTGTGAAAGTACCCTTATCTGCCAACTCCAGGTTGGGAAATACCAGGAGATATGGGGTGCGGAGCCCAGGGATGGCACAGTTAGGGGTGGGGGTGGGAAGTCAGCAAAGCAGCCATTTTCTCCAGGGGAGCTGATCTCTGTAGTCTGGAGGTCAGTTGTAATTCTGGGAGATCCCCAGGCCCCACCTGGAGGTTGGCAACCCTATAGCCCGGCCCGCCAAAGTCCCATTTATGTCAGATCCAGCCCTCATAACAAATTAGTTTGACATCCCTGGTATGGGGTCTAAATTCCTAGCAGAGTCATTCAAGGCGGAATGGTCACAGCTGGGGCAGCAGACTAAGATGCATCAACCCCCTTCAAGAATCAATGGCCATATCAGCAGAAGAGAATGGATCATTCCAATGGTGATGGGGGCAGAGGAATGCTCAAATGGTAGCTACTGGGCAGCAGCAGTAGTAGAAGATGACACTGACGGAGCATCTTTTGTAGATAACAGCAGTACCACTTTAGCAAACCCCGGTTAGTACTGCATAGAAGCAGGCAATGGTAAACCACTTCTGACCAACTCTTGCCTTGAAAACCCTATGATGAGACAATCCAAAATGAAAAAAGATATAGTTCTGGAAGATGGAGCCCCCAGGTCAGATGGCACTCCATCAGCTGCTGGAGAAGAGCTGAGGTCAACTACAACAAATGCTATTCTTAATGATGCAACTGGACTTAAAGCCGAAAAGACATTCAGTTGTTGATGTGAATGGATGCAAAAAGGGAAGTCTGAAGCTGTTCAATGCATACAGTAGGAACATGGAACGTGAGAAGTATGAATCAAAGTAAGCTCAAATTTGTAAAACAAGAAATGGAATGTTTCAAAATTGCAATCCTGGGAGTGAGCGAACTAAAGTGGACTGGATTAGGACATTTTCAATCAGAAAATGACAAAGTGTTTTCCTCAGGGAATGACAAACGCAGAAGGAATGGAGTTGCTCCACTTATGAGGCGAGATGTCTGAAGACAACAACTTGTTCATTGTAAATACATGTTTCAGGCAATCAAACAGAGGATTGTATACATGGACTCCACCAGATGGCCAATACAGTAATCAGATTATATAATAGGAAGCCGAAGATGAAGCTCTATTCTCTTTGCAGTAGCAGCTCTTCACTGGTGGAATGAGCTCCCAGAAGACATCAAGGCTCTGTGGGACCATTTACAGTTCCACAGGGCCTGCAAGACAGAGCTCTTCCACCAGGCTTTCGACTAGGGAGCCGCACCCAAGCAACTATAGCCCTGGCCCAACACCAACATTAACATCATTGTTAACAGCCAAGCAACTCAGACTACAATGTCAGCCAGCTGTTACCAGAGAATGCTGCTATGCCCGCCATCTGATACCAATGTTGAGCTGCAGACCGGAAGGTCGGTAGTTCAGCAGTTTGAGACCCGAGTGCCACATGATGGAGTGAGCTCCCGTCTCTGGTCCCAGCTCCTGCCAACCTAGCAGTTTAAAAGCAAGAAATTGCAAGTAGATAAATAGGTACCGCTTTGGTGGGAAGGTAAAAGCGTTCTGTGCGCCTCAGCGTCTAGTCATACCAGCCACATGACCACGGAAATGTCTTTGGACAGCGTTAGCTCTTCAGCTTGGAAACGGAGATGAGCACCGCATCCCTAGAGTCGGATTCGACTGGATTTTGAGCAAGGAAACCTATTTTATATTTCTATTCATAACTGTATTGTCTTGATTTTATTCAACTCCTGTTTTAACTGTTTTACATTACTATGTTAGTCACCCTGAGCTTGCCTTGGCAGGGAGGGCAGGATATAAATTAAATAAATAATAAATAAAACAAGACCAGGAACTGAATGATTAATATCAAAAATTAGAATAAAGCTGGAAAAAAACACCAAGATAGTCATGGTGCCAAAATACAAGCAACATTCCTGAAAAGTTTAAAGACCACGTAAAGAACAGATTTACACTACTAAGTTCAAGTGAATGTGAACCAGAAGAACTATGTGTTGATGGCAAAGACTGTTCTTGTAGCCAGAAGAAAAGCCTTGATAGATGAGTGATGAAACTCTTAAAATTGCTAAAGATAGATGAGAAGCAAAAATAAAAGGTGTGACAGAAACAGAATCAAAAGCCTACATGCATCATTTCAGCAACTCACACATAGAGACAAAGAGAACTATTATAATAGCAGTGTAAAGAAATAGAAGAGAACAACAAAAAGGAAGAACAAGAGATCTGTTCCATAAGATCCAAGAAATCAAAAAGAAATTTAAAGCATGGTTAGGCATGCTGAAAGATCAGCATAGAAATACATTAACTGAACAAGACAAAATAAAGAAAAGATGGGAACAGTACACTGAAGAACTATACAAAAGAGGTGAAAGGATGACATATTTCTTCCAAGAAGAATGTGTTGAAGAAGAACATACAGTTTTAGAAAGTGAAATGAAAGCTACACTGAGATCAATTGGGAGAAACAAATTTCCAGGAGTAGATGGGATATCAATAGCACTATTCTGAGCCACAGATACAGTCCATCAAAATCTTAACAGAAGAAGAAGAAGAAGAAGAGATTGGATTTATACCCCGCCCTTCACTTGGAGTCTCAGAGCGGCTTACAAACTCCTTTCCCTTCCCCTCCCCACAACAGACACCCTGTGAGGTGGGTGGGGCTGAGAGAACTCTGACACAAACTGCTCTTTTTCAGGAACAGCTGTGCCAGAGCTTGTGACTGACCCAAGGTCACATCAGCAGGTGCAAGCGGAGGAGTGGGGAATCAAACCCGGTTCTCCCAGATTAGAGTCCGTGCACTTACCCACTACACCAAACTGGCTCTCAAGAAATGATGATGTTGTTGCCAACCTCCCTCATGTTTGCCATTTGAAAACACATAAAACTGGTTGGTATGGTGGTGGCAGCACTGGCCGTTCAGCTCTGCCCCCCGCCCTCCTTGCTGAGCTGTGGGTTGGAGGAGGTGGGAGGGGAAAAACATGCCTCCTCTTTTCTCCAACTTCGCTGCCATCCCCCCCCCCTCATGATTTTACCTCAGCCTCTTAGCCTTGCCCCCTAGCCATTTCCTCTTTTGTTACAGCTTCAACCACACATACCTCATCACATATGCCAGCTTGCAGGCTGTATGTTTGACACCTCTGCTCTAACCACTACACAGTGCTGGCTTTTACAAACAGCAAAGCTTATTCCTTAGAATCTTCAGTTTTTCTTATTAAATGTTTTTAAGTTGCAGTTTTGTGAAGTAATGATTGGACATATTTAATTTTGCTGTTTTCTAAAGGGTTATATTCTAATTGTGATTTTGCACTTATTTGCATAAGGAAATGATGATGTTGTTGCCATAAATAAAGAAGAGCCCTCAAAAGAAGAAGAAAAGCATCCTGCTGATGAGGACCATCCACCAGTACTTGCTAAGCCTAGCAGAGATAACAAGGAACTGCATCCAGAACCTGGCACAGAACAGAATCCATATGAGGATATTAGAAACGCACAGGGTGAGGTTTTAGTAGAAGGGCAGAATGGCAGATGGCCAGAACCTGTTGGACATCAAGATACCAATCAGGCAAATACAGATGATGAAGAAGTTGAACGAGAGCAACTGTTAAATGATGATCTGCAGCAGGATGACCAGGAGATCAGTAAGGATGGTTAGTAGAAAGCTCACTTTCCAAGTACTGATTCAGATTTTATTGTTTAGATATCTCTATACCATCTCTTTCCCAAAGTACCTGATGCAATTCAGAGAATAAATATCACGAGGAGAAAAAAAATCCCCACACACCCAAAAAGTATTACACCCCATTAGCCACACTTGTAGGAACACCTGTTGAGCAAGTACACCTCATCTGTCACCTACAGCTTGGCATCTACCATGTTCATGGAAATTATATACAAATTGCCATTCACATTCACTTTGAGGTATTTTGGGTATGGTATTCAATCCTGAACCAGCCAACTCCTGCTTACAATAATTCAGTTAACAGTAGGGGTGGGCACGGACCAAAAAAATGGAAGTCTGTGGAGGTTCATTGTTTGTGGGATTTACAATGAACCTCCATGGACTTTCATGTTTAATGGACCGGGTTGTGGTTTGTTGGGTTCATGAAGGGAAGGCATTCAAAATGCTGTCCCTTCACTCACTGATGCACGCTTCCAGGAGTGAGGGAGTGTGCTACTGCTGCGGCACCACTGGGGAAGGGGAGGCATTTAAACATGCCCCCATCACTCTCCAAAGTCACGTTGCAGCGGCAGCACACTCCCAGTTTGCCTTCCATTCACTCCTGGAAGCATGCCACCGCTGCAGCGTGACTGGGAAAGGGGAGAGGAGGCATTTAAACATGTCCCCCTTCACTCTCCAAAGTCACGCCTTACCTTCTCTTCAAATTGCCTTCCCTTCACTCCTGGAAGCATGCCACTGCTGCAGCGTGACTGGGGAAGAGGAGCCATTTAAACATGCCCCCCCTTTCACTCGCCAAAGTCATACCTTACCTTCTCTTCAAATTGCCTTTCCTTCACTCCTGGAAGCGTGCTGCATCTGCGGTGTGACTGGGAAAGGGGAGGGGAGGCATTTAAACATATCCCTCCTTCACTCCCCAAAGTCACACTGCAGAATCGGCATGCTTGGGAAGGCAATTTGAAGGGAAGGGAAGGCAATTTGTGCCTCAGTGAGGAAATCCCCCATTGCTGTGGCAATCCTCTGCACTAGCATGTCTGGCTCATGGACCACTCCCACAGACCGCACGAACCTCCGTGGGAAACATGGTGTTCCGTGGGTGGTTTGCGAGTGGCGTGATTGCACGAACCAGACCCACTCTGTAATGAAATTAGGTCTATAAGCCAGTCCACGCCCAGCCTAGTTAACATTGAGGGGGTAACATGAAACCTTAAATTTTTACAATTTTGAAGTAAACTTTTTCAGATTCTCACCAGATTTTGAAAAGTGTTGTCTGGAAAAAATATGTGCAGATCTCTAGAAGCAAAATCCCTATAATAATATGTTCTCCATTAGATAAATGTAAGGAGGGATTGGTATATAAACAGGTATTAGACGAAATAAATATTAGACTAAACAAAACATATTTAGAGGCAGTGTATCTGAGTAGCTGAGGTGAAGAACAGTTAAATTGCCTTAACTGGAGGGTTTTGTCTAGCCAGCCCTGGAAACAGAATGCTGGAAGAGAAAGAGCTTGGTTTGATCCCCTAAAGTTGTTTTTAGGTAACTATCATCTTACTTCACTTTGTAAACAGAGTTTTCTCACTTTGGTTTTCTTGGCAGGAGCTGTTGTTACAGTATCTACACCTGAGTTGTGCTGGTATAGTAGGAGACTATGCTATGGGTGTAGTCTAGAAGCTTAGAACTGTGCAGAAATGCTCCATGAAACAGTGCAATGTGTTTAAGATTCTTACTTAATTAGATTAGCCTACTTAGTCTTCACCCTACACTGTTCAAGAATAAGTGGTGAAAGAGAGATGCACCACACAGTTGTACTAATATGTGCCACGAGAGATTAGTGCTTCTGTACCGAATGCTACTTCATGGAAGCATTTGTTAGCAGCTTTTCTCTGGGATAGTGTGCTGTAGCATGTGATGGGCACATGAAGCTGCCTTATAATCATGCCCTTGGTTCATCAAGGTCAGTATTGTCTCCATGGTGTCAGGCAGAGGTCTTTCACATCTACTACTACCCAGTCCTTTTAACTAGAGATGCTGGGGAATTGAAGCTGCGACCTTCTCCATGCACAGCAGATGCTCTACCATGAAGCCATAGCCCCTTTTCTAGTTTGCCTATTTAAATTTATCCAAAGTGAAGGGTATCTTATAGGAATATTTGTTTTTTACTGCCTCTAGTGGGGGGTAAGTATGTGACAGACTAGCACTCTGCCATCTGCAGTGATGTGGGGCAGAACATTTTAATTTTCTGCCCCACATTAGGCAAGCGTGGAAATTTTTATGCATTTGTGATTGATTTTTGCAGCCATGTAAATGTGGTCTAGTTCATTTTATCTTAGTAATCTGCTTAAAACTAACACATTAAGAAGCAGTATGTGGTAGAGACAGTAAGTTAACTATAGTCAGTTGTGTTTATGTCAGGGCTGTTGTGCTGCAAACCACTCATGTTAGATGGGCCAAATGGGGGATATGAAGCATAGACATAGTCCAGGTTTGTACATGGTATATTTGCTTTCTTTCCTTGCTAACATTATTTAAACATTTAAATTATTTTAAAATTACATATTTAATTTTGAATCAGAACACTTTTTGATCAAGTTCCCCAAAAATCCACATCACTTATAGTACCTCCCTGGCTTTCAAACAAGCAACCACTTGAAATTGAAAAAGCAGTCAGATACTGAAACCTGCAATATTTTCTATTTTGGGCATAGGAGAAAGAGTGGCTTTATGAATCTGCTTCCTGGTGTAGAGAAGAATGATCCAGAGACTAGATCAATGACCATGTTCTAAATGAAGTAGATAAATAAAATCGGCAGAAATTGGATGCTACAACTATAGTGTACACCTGTACTTTAAAGAAGTTAATCTAAGTATTTTTCTCAGAAAATCTTCCTGTTTCAAATAAAAACAAAAAATGTCAAGATATTGCTAATATTTTAACCCTTTTTATGATAATTACTGTGAAACTGAAAGCGAATGGGGCAACCCCCCCCCCCCGGTTTTAAATTTTAGAATACTATTGCAGTAAACTGTTCTTCTCTTCAGTTCTTAAAATAGATATGCATAGGTTTGGTTTGCACTTGTCTTTGCAGGTGAACTGGGAAGCAAGACAGCAAGACAGCGTAACAAAAGCACAGACTATAATTTGGTGGATATGAATGAGGCAGAGTCTGAAACAGATAAACAAGCTGCCCTTGTTGAACATTAACATACTCTGAATGGTAAACCTTCCTATCTTTTTGTTTCTGCATTGTTCTAAGAACTTGTTCACTGAAGGAGTTCTAAATACTTTTGCAGAGAATTTATCTATGCTTGATCAATCCTGTTTGATTACTGCAACAATTTCTTAAATATTCATTTTTAATTCAAAATGAAATCAGATGGCCGATTTTAAAGCAAATAAAAATTAGACACTACTTGCTGATGTACTTTTGTGGGAAGAAAAAGTTCTTCATCACAATTGTTAAAATAGATTTTGCATAATCCTACAAGGACAGGCATTGCTGGTCTGTATATAAATATTATTACAGATACACTGTCATTCAAACTCAATATAATTAGAATTACATTAAAGTTCCTTTCATTTCAGTATCCTGAATATCCATATATGCAGAATTACTGGAACATCAACAGAAGCTGTGAAGAAGGAGGTCAGCATGTGACACTGCAAAAAACAGTTGAAACCAGCTCAGCTCCTCAAAGTTTGAAAAGCCCAAATAGAATCTCACTGCTAGGATTTGTTTAAATTAGCTGTTACTCTGTTAAGAATTGAATCCTGGCTTTAAACAAAAAGTAGTAATATAGTGGTATTACACACGAATTTTGCTGTTGTAACATTTCAGGAGGAAGAAAGTTGTCTGTGCTGTTAGTCTTCAGAAGGCTATTTTGGTTTTTTTTCTAGAAAACCAAACCTTGTCTGGAAGTTGTTAGTGGAAGTTCATAAGTGACCTTTAGCTTTAGAAATACTGCTAATGCCTCTTCCAGCAACCCAAGTTAGGTAAATTTCTTTGAATAACCATTCTATGTTTGTAGTTTTCTGTTCATAGTAGTGAATTCAGACAGATCTGTTTTATAAGTTTACACTCTTCTACCTGTTTTGATAAATTCAACTGGAATGAGAGGGACTTCTAAATAAATATGGATTGGGCTGTAAGTATATTCTCTTAATTCCTCTTTCAGACTGCATGTTCTTTGGATAGAACAGGGCTTGAACATAACTATGCTTAATTTATGCACTAATGTTTTAGACTTCAGTAAAGTGGATTTTTTATCCTGACATTATCTTTGGTATGACCATGTTCTTATGATCCACTGAGTGGAATAAACTTGCAGTCTTTTCACAAGCCCCAGGTGTGTTACTGTTATACATATCTTGTTCAAATTTAAAATGAAGACCTGCACTACTGTAACTGTATCACAGACTGGAAAAGGGCATGGTATTAATATTGCTCATAAGCACTTTTTGGTTGTTCAGCATGACCTTAATCTCACTTGTCACAGAGATGTGTCTTAAAACTAAGGGTAACAGAGGTGTAACAAGAGTACCTTCTATTGCCACAAGGACAGATTACTTATTATAATATTAAAGTTGACTGTAAATTTTCATTTCTGTACAAAAATTCGTTTGATTTTTGATTACTGTTAATAAAACTGAGCCATGTGTTTGTCAACATGAATGTTTTCTGGGAATAAGAGCTATGATCAGTCTAATGCGTTTACCACTCTTGTTAGCAGTATTCCTTTATCGAATAAAGCACTGCACTCAGGCGAACTGTGTACAATTCTGTAAAGTATGTTATCAGTTATTCCTGATATAACCTATTCGCAGACTAGTTGAAAGTGTCACAGCTGGTTTTAGGTATCACCAAACACATGAGATATAAGAATTGCCTAACAGAAGATCTGGGACTCTTTAATTGCATAGCCATAACCCTATTAAAACAACCCAATTCCTACTCTTTAAGAAACATTTGTGCCTGTATAAAACAGAATTTTAAATTAGAAGACTGTACAATGTCTAATTCCGGGTAAAAAGTAATGGGTTGAAGCTTTAAGCATCAGCAGTGGTTAAAACAAATCAAACGGGTTCAACTTCTCCTTGTTAAGTATTCTAGTCACAACCTCTCTAAAAGCTGAGAGGGGGGAAATTTAAACTTCCAAGTTAACCAAAATTCAGTAAGATAAAATATGCAGCACCAGGAATTTTCAGGACCGGTTTTGTTTAAGGTTCAACTCTGTGCATAAAAATGTAACAGCTCCCTTAATAACCTATTCTTAAGTGTGTTATGAAATGTTTACAAATGCTCAATACAATTCATAAAAATTATTTATAAGTCTGTAATAAAATCAAACAGTGCTTCAACAATGTAGTTGATAAAACCATTTCCAGCAGAAGAACATTGTACAAGATACTTTAAAACAGCAGCTGTCACTCAGACCATGTAAAGAAGTCAGAGTACAGGGTTTTTTTAGCACAACTGTACTTTTGTCCAAGAGCACCATGTCCCTTCTGAGCACAGTATATAAAAGAGCATACCAGAGGCAGCTCTTGGTTGCACAAGTTACAGAACATTTGCTCTTCTTTCAAACAAGTTTCACTACTGGGAAGTATCTGTGAGGAGAGAAGTCAAATTCTGGAGGAACCTAAAAGAAAAAAACAAATTAAAAAAATTATTTTACAACTAAATTACTTCTGTGCTGTAATTAATTTGGTGCTACCTCAGAAAACCACCCCCACAGAGCCCTAGATCAATTCTCTATTATACTCTATGGGGACCATTGATTATAATGCCCCCCCCCCAGGGTATAATGGAGCCAAAAATATTGGCAATCCTGAATATTTATTGAATCCAAATACCATACCATTCAGATTTGGGAAATACCAATATTTTTCAGGTTTAATATACCCGAACCCAAAAAATCCAGGTGTTTGTTTTTTTACATAACCCTTATTCTGCAACTAGTACGTTTCTTACCTCTTATATTCTTCATGTATTAAAACCACTCTAGCTAGCTCCTCCTGCTCTCAATGTATTAAGATTTGAGAAAGGCTGATTCAAGATTGTGTTGTATTTTTATGGTATATATATATAAAGCTGCAATTCTAAATACAATTAAGAGGGCTTCAGTAGTCTGCTAAGGTGCCTAAGATAACAGATTATTATGGTGTAGTTATTGCAACATGATCACTAAAGGTCATTTGGCATCTGCCATGTTAATTGATTTATCAATTACACGCTATTCAAACTGAAGACTAGTTTTTTTCACAGGCATGCCATCAAAAAAAGCAGGGGTCATCTTAACTTAAACTTTTATGTGAATGTATTTCCAGTAGTAGTTTCTTCTGTGCATATACCTTCTTAAAGGGGATCATATGCATGGTTACATACTGTATGTATTAATTAAAATAAACCCATCAGCTATGATCCTCCTCTTTATAATGTATAACCCCTCCACTCAGCACAATTTGTAGCTTTCCTCCAGTATGAGGAGCTTTTCTCTGACTGAAATGGCTCTTCAGAAGAACGGTCAAAGGAAAGATCTTTAGGATAACAACTTCAAATTTTGCTGAAGGGAGTGGATAGAATATAGGCCACTTTGTCTACATGTTTCACTATCAATTTATTATTACGGTCATAGACCAGCAAACAATACAATACGAGGCAAGTAAATAACAGGTAAAAGAACAGTAAAATTATAACAATAGCTAAAATAATATACAGAAATCTAAAAGTTTCAAATACAGAAATGGTAAAAATTAATATTAAAATCAAAGGTTAAAAATAAATCTAGGCCTATCTGTACTTCTTTATCTTTTTCCTAGTTCGGTATGCCAACCAACCAACCAAATTTGGAAACCATCCTAGTCAACTTTTCATTATTAATTGCCAGCATAATTGACAAAAGTATCCTTCTATTGCAGTAGTAGGAATTAAAAATAGGCTTAACCAGGCTTTATGATGTAAAATACAATAAAAAATTACATGTTCCAACTTTTCCTCAGCGATTTAATAAATCTGGCCTCCAGCACAGCTGAGGGTAAGGCATTATAAGGGGTCGCGGTGGCTCAGAGGTTAAGACGCTTAAGCTGCAGACTGGAAGGTCTGTAGCTCAGCAATTCGAGACCTTAGTGCCATGTGACAGAGTGAGCTCCCGTCAACTTAGCAGTTCAAAAGTAAGAAACTGCAAGTAGATAAATAGGTACTGCTTTGGTGGGAAGGTAACAGCATTCTGTGCACCTCGGTGTTTAGTCATGCTGGCCACATGACCATGGAAATGTCTTCAGACTGCACTGGCAATTTGGCTCGGAAATGGAGATGAGCACTGCCCCATAGAGGCATGCAACTAGCTTTTGAGCAAGGGAAACCTTTACCTTTTTATGACATTATACCTTAAAAGGGTAAAATTCTTCTATGATTACAGATATTTAAATATTTGATGTAAGGTCTCAACGTTATCTTGTTAAGTGTCAATGCCACAGGAAGTGGTGGCGGCTACAAGCATGGACGGCGTCAAAAGGGAATTAGATAAGCATATGGTCCATCAGTGGCTATTAGCCACAAGGTATAGATAGGGACTCTGGGGCAAGTGATGCTCTGTCTTCTTGGTGCTGGGGGGGTCAACAGTGGGAGGGCTTCTAATGTCCTGGCCCCACTGGTGGACCTCCTGATGGCACTGGTATTTCTGGCCACTGTGTGATACAGAGTGTTGGGCTGGATGGGCCTTTGGCCTGATCCAACATTGGCGTCTCTTATGTTCTTAACTAATCATCTTTGTTACATAACCCTGTGGATTACATCATACCCTCATAAAAGTATTTTTATGGACAACTGTCAATAGGAACAATAGGCACCAATAGGATTTCAAATTTTCCCATAAGGTAGTTTTTGAAATAGAATCAAACACAGATTTAAAATCTATAAAAGCTGCATACAAGGAGGTTAAAGAGTTTGAAGAGAATTAAATGGGGGGGGGGCGTGGTGGCTGAGTTTCCGGCTGGCTGCATCCCTTCCAGCTCCTGCTATTCCCATGGAAAAATTAGAACTCTGCTTCCAGAAAATACAGCCAAGTTTGGAACAAATACCAATGCCAGCTATGGGAAGGACCAGAGCAAAGAAAGGTACTAAAAATCCTTCTTATAGACCTCCCCAAAAGAGTAATATTGACTCTGAACACTCAGATGATTCAGACCTAGAGGCGTCTCTGTCAGAGGGAATGGCGGTAGGGGGGAGTAACCCTGACCAAAGCGAACAGACTGTGTTATTGCATGCCCTAACAGAGATAAGAAACGAAATCAAGAATGATTTAAGGTCACTGAGTGGAGAGGTCGGACAGTTAAAAAATGAATTTGGGCTGCTCAAACAAACAATTGAGCCTATAAATAAGAATTTAGACGAGCTCACCGCAGCATTGAAAATGACAGAGAGGAAAGCTGAATCACCATTTCACTCGGCAAAAAAGAATGCAGACGACATTAAAGATTTTAAGGAATTTGAGATATGGGCCAAGAATAAGATCATACGCCAGGAAACAAAACAGAGAAAAGGTTAAACTCAGTGGGGTATCTGTAAACTTAGGTGAAAAAGAAAATCTCACTGCAGCTTCAAACAAATGGCTGACTCAGATTCTTCTAGGAGCAGGAGAAGCAGTATCTTCTGAAGGGATCATCAGCTCTGCCTTCCAGCTAAGTATCCCCAAAAAGGCTCCTGAAAACGCTTCCCCTGATATTATCATAGAATTTAAACAGGTCCAGACGAAGAATAAACTTTTTGCAATCGTGGGAGACAAGCAGGGCCTGAGCCTGGAGGACACGATTGTGTATCTGTTTCTTGACATTCCAGCTAAGGCAATCATCGCAAGAAGACGTCTTAAGGAAACAGCAAAAATTTTCAGAGACAAAGGAATTCAGTACAGATGGTTGCCGCTCGGACATCTCGTGGTTAATTTGGAAAACAAAACGTTCACTGCATATAATGAAATTACAGGAAAAAATTTAGTAGAGGCGGTAAACAAATTAAGGAATGGAAGTGTTCGAA